GGCATAGAATGGTCATCACCCTTCCTTCATGGTGAAGCAGAGACCAGAAGAGGAAAGGAAATTGGGACTTTCACATCCATTCTCCAGCTTAGAAAAAGCACATCCATCTCATCTTTTCTCCTTCAAATAGTCTTCAACAAAGGCCTCCTTAGGTACTTAGAGTGTTGTTTTGTAATTATATAACAAGAATTTAGAATAATTAGTAATCGATCTCTAACTTGACAGGAAAGAGACAGAACCAAGGCAGAAACACATCAGAACCCACATGTGCGTGTCAGTGCTATGTGACGAGGTCCTTAAAAGACACCCATCAAGGGTTAGAGGAAACGGCTCCTAACCCACATAAAAGCCAGGGTGCAGCGGCCTGTCCATAATCAGCCTGAGTGGGCAGAAACAGCTGGCTAGAGTGGAGCTGTGTCAGCCGAACTCTGTGTTTGATTGACAGACACTGCCTCGATGAGTAAGGTAGAAGAGCAATCCCAAATCACTCCTGACATGAGCCTTGGGACTCTATATGTACTCATACCTATATGCACATAAACACTCCCACACACATGTGACCGTACACTCATACACACATCCAGACACCACACATATATTTGAAAATGGAAAATGGAAAAAAAGAAACCTGCCATGGTGCAAAAATCTCCATACAGAAATTAAATTGTGGTTCCTTTTTAAAATTGTTTATTTTTCTTCTGTAGGAGTGTATTGCCTGCATGGATGTAAGTATACTTGTGCCATACAATGCCCGTGGAGGTCAGAAAAGGGCATCAGATCCCCTGGAACTGGAGTTATAGATGGTTGTTAGCTGCCATGTGGGTACTGGGAACTGAGCTCCTGTCTTCTGCAAGAGCAGCCAGTTCTCTTAGCCACTGGGCCATCTCTCTAGCCTCGTGCTTCTTTTTTTTTCTGTATGTCTGATTGAAGTTCAACAAGAACTGATGACATGGTGCTAGGAAGAAGCTCAGTTGGTAAAGCGCTTGCCTAGCATATACAAAGCTCTGAGTTTGATCCCAGCACCATTATAATCCTAGCACTTGGGAGGTGGAGGTAGAAGGTTCAGATAGGTGTTCAAGGTTATCCCGTTACATAGTGAGTTCAAGGCCAGCCTGAGTTACATGAGGCACAGCAACAAACGACATTTTATGAAATGGGTTTCCTGTGTGCACTTCCAGTGCCTGCTCTGACTTGACTCGTGATCTGAGCAAAGCTGAGTTTCAAATAAAACTCTCCTTATCTTTTCTAGAGAGCCAATGGAAATTCCAAGGCTTATAAGAAACGTTTGTAAGAAAATGTGGAAGTGTCACAATAAACCACATTCCAACCAGGTGAAGTTGGAAAGTTTTTTTATATGTAATAGCCAGAAAACTATCAAAGACCACAAAATTACGTTGAGAAGCATTCAGATGTCAACTTGAAAAGACGCCCAGTGGTCAAAGACGAATTAATTTGCTCAACAACAGGTGTTGTCTAAAGCACATTAAATATGCTCAATTGAGCACGTTTAAAAGTCACTCATAAAGAATAAAATAGCACTATTAGGAGAAAATAAGGAGCCAGATTATTTTGAAAATCAAGGGAAAGAAATGAAGAGAAAAATTAATCAAGAGCTCATCCTATCTTTGTCTCTGTGGGCACACAAGTGTGTGGAGTCACAAAACCAAGGCCTCCCTCTCTTGAAGTGGTTGACCAGGGGTCCCATGGACTGTCAAACACTACTGGCCATTGCCCCTGCTCTTGGTTACCTACCAGAACCTCACAGTATGACCCTACTGCTAAAGACACTGCGTACATGAGCTGTAGAACACAGAAAGAGAAATCAAGTTGGTGCTGACTTCAGAGTCTTATCTCTACTGGCTGACTTTCGCAGTACTGGAAGGAAAAAATAATCATCAACCTTACCCATCTGTGAATTCTGTGAACTACTGCAACAACTGGCCTGGCAAGATATGCCCATCAGTGCAACATGATTATTATGGGAGTAACCAACCACTTTCTAATTGGATTTAAGGGTCATTTCCTAGATGGAGACCATACCTGACATTGATATCAGGCCTACGATCCCTCAGTGTGATGGGCCCTCCCACATCACTCAATAATCAAGAAAATGCCTCCCAGACACGGCCATTAGTTCAGTCCAGAAGAAGCAATTTGCCAATTGAGTTTCCGCTTCCCAGGTGTGTCAAGTTGACAACTAAAGCTATCCAGCACACTCATTCAATTAAAGATAGAATCAACACAGAACTTGGTCATTTCACTAGCAGATTTATAGTGAGAGAGTTGGAAATTGATGTCCAAACAAAAACCCATAGATAGAGGATATTCAAAGCAAAACTATTTACAAAAGATGAAAGTTGGAAAAACAGATAAACTGTGGTATGCCCATATGATGGATTATTCAACCATGGAAAGGAATGACTGGTTCATGATATAACGTGGATGGATTACGAAGGCACTGAGCTAAGTGAAAGAGGCCGATGAAAAGGGCCACATAGTGAATGACTCCATTCTTCCGAAAGAGCCAAAGAGGGAGAATCCCTGGAAATGGAAAGCTGGTTCAATGGCTGCCTGGGACATGGAGCAGGTGGAGCAGAAGTGACTGCTTCATGGATATAGAGCTTTCTTTTGGGGTGATGAGGAATTCTGGAGCTAGGCAGTGGAGTGCTTTCTACAACATCATGAATATATTGACTGTCACTGAATTATACATTTTAAAGTGGCTAAAATTGAAGTAATTCTAATACCATGCATATTCAACAGAATTTTTTAAAGTGTGTGATTTGTTTCAAACCAATAGCAGAGTGGGGAGGGAGAGGGGAAAGGGGAGAGAAGGGCGGAGGACCAGAGAAAAGCAT